TGGGATGGAGGCTGGCCTGGAGAGGGGACAGCAAAACACACATGGTGTGAGCAGCTGCCTGGTGCTCTGCTCACTTAGAGAAGAGGCACAGGCTAGGGAGCAGGGACAGGCACTGCATTGCCAGAGAGAGGCTCGGCAGACCAGATCAACAAGAGCCTACAGAGAGTCAGCCCCAGGCCTTCTTCCACCTCCCCACATTGGCAAGTAGAAGAGAGCACATGGGAGCACCGTCAAGGAGCAAGATTCACCTCAAGGTCTACATACAGAGAAAGACTTGGAGGATGCCAGAAGAGCAAGAGAAGAAGCAGAGAAAAAGTGAAAAGATAACCCCAGCAGCTCACCTTGTTCACCAAGGAGGAGAAGGCAAGAGAAGTGGATGAGGGAGCCTGGTGCTGGACTGGCTTTTATACTGGTCTAGTCGGCCCCAGGCTTAGAGCAACACCCTTTGCAAAAGTAATGTGTTTACCAAAAGCTCAGCTTGCATGCAAATCATCACAATTATTAAAACTACTGTCTTCCTTATTTTCCTTGTGATGCTTCCTTTTATTTTCCTGTTCTGCACATACTATACAACGTGCAGACTGCTTTCAAGTGCCAGCATTAGAGGCCAAAATATTTCCAGAGGTAAGTACATATCATCACAAGAATGATGCATCCAGTGATGAAGAGTGTCTCAGCGCTCCAGGGGACGTCTGCCATTTACTCTCCGGGGCGCTGCACTAACATTTGTCCTGATGATTGGGGTTCTTCTTCTCCTAAACCTGAAGCTTCAGGTTGGGCATCCATAGGCAAGGAGAGGCCACATCAATCAACCTCCATAAACTATGCTTGCTCATATTCTTTTAGAAATCCCCTTTCCAGTCAGGACACATCTGCTCTTGGATTTTGGAATATCTCACAGAGTAATTATTGCTCTTGGCAGCGATGGGCCTGGCTCTTCTTTTGCAATCTTACTTCTCTCCTTCATACCCCTGTGCCTTAAGGAGCATACTTCTAAGAATAGCAAATGTAGGCGATTGCACTCCAGTGACACCTTGCTGGACACCTCTGGTAAACTAGGAGGAATCCCAGTGACAAAGGCACACGTAGGCAATTGATACCTCTCCTTCCACCTGCCCATGTCTTTGACACAAGTCATGCTTTGCCCATCCGGACTGGCAGCCCAATGGGCACAACCGAATACTTGACAGGATTTCCGCCTGACACGCCACCTTGTTCACGAGCACTGAGAGTGCTCACAAAGGCAGGTGGACGATCAACGGCACCAGAGGATCCCCTGGTACCACTGGAGGCAGGATCAGAGTGGCAGGAGCAAAGCAGAGGCTGTGGAGGACAGGAGTATG